TCTTTGTAGTACACAATATTCTCCAAGTTAATCCCTAAAACAGGCAGACACAGGTGAACATCACACACACCTAGAGTCTCTGAATGCAGACTCCAGGTGTGTGTCAACTTTTGGGAACAAACCAGTTTCCTGCCGTAGTTCCTGGAAAAACCTTTGGTTAAAGATGAATGCCACACCGCTGATCTCCTCCACTTTGGCCTCAGCTGTGGTGTTTCTGTTCTTGAAGTTTGCTGTGATGGCGATGGCAAGCTTCCCCCTGAACTCTTTACGCCTGAAACCTGTTCACACACACGGATATAGGACAACATGGTCAGGTACACAGTGTCCACATTTTAGAAAAGGGGTGTCGGACAGCACATAGTCCAGAGAAGTATCATACCAGTCTGAAATGTTATAATGATGCTGTTTCTATATAGCAGTCAGGGTTCAGATTTACAGGTGGATTAACCTCCATCAGACTGTGAGAAAAAGGCTTACACCGCAGTACTGATTCAAAAGTAGGTTACAACTTTCAGATGGACTGGAAGACACAAAAACCCTTAGAAGAACTGAAGTTGTTGTAGCTGATGATTTTGATGTGCCTGACAGTGTTGTTGTACCTGACTATGTTGATGTACCTGATAATCTTGTTGTACTTGCCTATGATGCCCGATGATGTTGATTTACCTGATGATGCTGATGTACATGACTACTTTTTTTTATACCTGTTAGTGTTATTGTACCTGGCAGCGTGTTCCTGCGTCCATCTGCTCCGATTATTACATCAAACTCCAGCTGACTCACAGGGTGATTCTTTGGACTCACCTCCATTCTCCAGCCCAGCTCTGGACAGGTACATAGATACACAGAAAGTTGAGGAATCTACATTTTAAGTGCTTTTAGGACTGAAAAATAATTTCATACGTACTGTCTGTTTTTCATTTCTTTCGCTCACATATTCTGCAGCTCAGTTTATGACCCTGATGATTGCTACTATTCACCTGCTTCTGTGTTTTCTAATGAACATCAACAAGGTTACACCAATGATTTCTTTCAACACTTTCACTCTAGGTAAAATGTTGTCTGACTTCAGGCCTTATACCCCCATTGTCGTCAAAGGAGCTTGCAAAGAAAAGCGTCTGGACTTCTTTAAGTTGCTTGAAGACATTTCACCTCTCATCCGAGAAGCTTCTTCAGTTCTAAGGTCAAATGGTGGAGAGTCCCAGATATAAACCTAGTGGGAGTATCCCCCCACAG